TGAATTTCCAGCATGCGAGGAGTTTCAGGAATATGTACCTCACTAGGATAGGAATTTCTTTGTAAATGTAAAGAATACCCATTGCCATTGTTAGGGAAGTAGTATTGAATCATCGGATGTTTTGTCCCTTGGCTAAAATTGTGGGGGAAGGGATACAGGATCCCTCAGAAAGCCCCTCAAGATGTATGAAACCTTTAGGTCTCTGCAGGCTGGGTCATGTGGTGGAATTTAGAGTCCTCAGTATGACTCCACTCTATACGAACTCCAAACTCTTACCAAGCTGTACTTCAGATTTGCTGGGACAGAACAAAGCTTTCACTAAGGCAAACATCCTGTGGCCTGCTCTAGAACTACCACACTGACATCAGGGCAGGCACTGGGCGTGTGTATATTTAGAAGGCACCACACTTGATTCTGAAGCACACTCAAGACCATCAGCCTTGGAGGTGGAGAGAATAACTTGGGAGCTTGTGAAATGCTCAGGGCTCAAGCCACACAGCAGATTTGATCATGGAGGCATCTGGAGTCAAGCAGCTTCCAGGTGGTCCCAGGTATAGTGAGGAATCAGACCAATGCCTAAGCTTGCTTTGTTTTGTTTTGCTTGTTGTTTATTTTACAGAGCTGAGGTTGAGTCCAGGGCCTCACACATGCTCAGCATGTGTTTTGCCAATGAGCTACATGCCATCCCTCTTAGGACCTGTTCTAATCCGAGGAAGATCTTGCATTCTGTAGAACAGGGCTGAAAGTTCAGTGAACATTGAAATCACCTAAGAAAATGGTCCAAATGCAGATTCTGACCCAGTACAACTGGTACAGGGCTGGAGAGCTCACTCTTTTAACTAGCTGGTCTGTAGATTTCACAGCAGGTTACAAGGCTTGAGACTCTAATGACTTTTACTTGGTTATTTAATATCTAATGATTTTTTTACTCAATTATTTAATGCCAACCAAGTAACATGACCACAGTGAGCCTAGACATAAACCAACCTTGCCCACCTAGGGTGGTTAATGGCATTTGACAGAAGTGACACAGCAGGCTTTGTGATTAAACACAAAACAAATGTTTGTGTTACCTCTGGGTCAGCCATGGAGTGGTGCTGACAGGAGGCTGGACTGCCACGTGCTAAGAGAGATGAGCCAGTACGCCTGGGCCCTACCTGCCAGCATTATGATCATTGCAGAGGGCTGGCTTCTCAGCCCTCTGGAGTGATTGTTTTAACAGTTGTCATTTTGGAGGATATAGATTTTGTTTGCCACCTGAGATGAAATCAAATGCCATGAGATTTCATCACACTACCGAGCAAATTTTAAAACTTACAAATTGTTTATTTCCAAAACAATAGAAAGCAAAACTGCAGATAAGATGGAAGGGATAATGGAATGAAGAATGCAGACAAGAAGGCAATGGGTTTCTCTGCATGTAGAAATCGCAGTTAGGGATGAGAAAAGCAGTCTGAAGCTCCCTGTAGTACCTTGGCCTTGATGCACCTGGAGAGCTAGTAATAGACAAGAACATGGCCATTGTCTACCATGCACCTGAGATGGTTCACTTTTCAGATGAGGAAACTAACATGTATACCTGCTTTGCTTCTCAGAGGTGGATAAAAGGCAAAATGGTGGAAGGTTGTGAGTGGATAGATGTGATAAGACCTTCTTGGATCTCAGCAGCACTTTGTAAGAGATTAGAATAAGGCATCAATAAAACCAAGGTTGTATGTGAATTGCAAACATTCACAAGTATCCGTGGTTTAGAATAAGGGCCAAAAGTGCCAAAAGAGTCAAAGGAAGCACGTTGTATCTGTGGAGAGTTGGCAACAGCATCTTATATGTAAAGAAAACCAGGAAAATGAAGACTACAAAGTGGCTGTGATCAATGATCATTAGAAACATACTGAAGTAGGCATATTGTCACCTATTTTACAACCACTTATTCAATAACCCAATGTCTATTGTGCAGCAGGCACTATTTCAGTTATTAGGATTTCATCAGTGTCATATACATGTAATAAACTCATTCTCTATGATTAGTGATAATGCTTGGCCAGGAAGATTCTTAACTCCCAGAACCTGAGAACACATCCCCATACTGTACACTTACCATCTATTATCCCAAACAGAAATGCAAATCTCTCTGGGATGAAGCTGAGCAGCTATGCAAAAAGACAGAGACAGCACTTCTGACTTAAGAGTAAAGATGATCTTACCCCAGTGTGGCTAGGGAAAGAAATTTAAGATGGGTGGATTGTCAGGCCTTGCCTCTGAGTTGGATCAAGAAAGTGAGCTCAAAACCAAGGTGAAGAGTTGGCGGTGTGACTCTTGAAGAGGATTCAAGTTAGCCTGGGGTACCCTTTCTGTTTTCCACTCCCAAACTGGAATTAGCTTTGGAATCTTCCATAAATGTAGAGAAACTGGGGGCTTTCCAATAGTAGGTTGGGTAAGTACTATTTCAGGACAAATTGTAACAAGATGGCTTTGCATTGTAAAAGAGACTGGGGAAGGCAGGACGTAGGTACGCCTAGAGACATAGATATTCAACAAGACAGTCTTTGTTGAGAAGCAGAAATTAGAGTATGGATTTTCTTCTCAGAAAGCTAAAAGCAATATTCAGATGAAGACAAACTATTAAAAGATAAACTGCTGGCCATTTTCTACAAAAAGACAGCCCAAGGTAAGTGAGTCAGGCAAGACTCAAGAGTGGATAATTTTTTTTAACATTACCCATAATTAAGAGCTTTAACCATGATAAATCTTTAGGTCTGAGAATAAATGCTTATTGTTGGACTTAGTGATGATAAGATGCGCCTTCCTTCCTCCTTTCTTTCCTTCCTCCCTTCCTCCCTCTGTCCTTTTCTCTCATTGTCTCATCCTCCCCCTTCTTCTATCCCTCCCCCTCCTTCTCATCCCTCCTTCCTTCCTCCCCTAAATCACAAAAAGTTTCCTTTAATTCCCAATGCTACCCTCTTCCCATTTCTATATCAAATTTGCAACAACCATTAGTCATTTGCTATTTCTTTAATCACATTTTATAGTAGATAAGAAATACAGGCATCTCCAACAATCATATAGTAACTTTTTGCACAGATTAAAGAAAAACTGCATTTTCAACTCTGCCAATCCCTGTGGCAATTTTTTTCTGCTCTAGTCCCAAGGAAGTAACTAGTACAGATATATATAAAGATCCCATTTCCAGTTATAGGCTGCAGAGAACTGCTCTTGAAAGCCATGCTTCCGTTGAAGTTTCTGGCTGTCCCTTGAGTGAGAGGTCATTTCCGACCTGCAAGGTGAGACACAGTCCTGCTCCCTACAGAAAATGCCAGCTCTCTGCTTGGCTTTCTGGACAGGAATGTTCATAGTTCTGCAGGAATCGTTCTAGTCACAACACAAAGCCTGAGGTCAAGGTGGGGCAGGTTTGTACTCAAGAATGAGATGTGAGAACATAAGCAAAAGAGTTCCATAGAATCTCAGAGATTTACACAGAGTACTTGAGCGTGATCTAAGGACTGCTCATTTTATTAACTCCATTACCAATAAATGATGAGACTGCTTACTTTACCTCATCCTCCAATCTCTAATAATAAAAATAATTCTTCCAATGAAACCCTTTCCAAGTGGATAAAATAACTGTGAAAAGGCACTTCACTTTCCAAGGAAAAGAATAAAAGAGGAAATGCTATATTTATCAATAGGAAAAAAATTAAAACTGCCACTTTATTTTATGTCAGTATTTGACCAAACCACCGACTAAACATACTTTCAGAGCATATCTGAGGTTACCTGTGTGTGCACTAAGTGGTATGTTTAAAGAACTAAATAGGGGTAAAACTGGCCTCCCTAGGAAAAAAAAAACAACAAAGTATTTATCTGATTAATTTGAACAACAGAAGAGAATAACTTACTCTGTCAAGAGCTACCGTGGCTCTGGAGATTTGTAGCTTCGCTGTCTTATGACAGTCTTTAGCAATCAGTGCTTCAGTTTCTTTTGTTTTCACAGAGAGTGATCAATAATTTTGCACTGGGGAACATTTTTCAGAAAATCTTCTCTAAAAGTAATAATTGGATTACAACTACAAAATTGGAGGAAAGGGAACATGAAGAATGGTAAAAAAAAAAAAAAAAGATTCATAAATAACATTTAGATCATGTATTTCTGAAAAAAATCAAATTTTGGCCATAGTATAGCATTGGTCCAAAGTTCATTTGGAATACTTGAATATAAAAGATAAATAAAAACAGTGTGTCAAAGCATTTTTGTGCATTAATTATTCTGATAAATGTAATTTCATCTCTTTAAAATGAGTATTAAAAACACCCCAAGTCAGTGAAGAAAGAATATAGTTTCTGTCTGGCAGTATTTTCCTGCCCTCTTTGAGACTTTGGGGTCTCAGAAAGGAAAATAAAGCAAACACTAATCAAAAACACATTACCAGCCCAGCAGTCAGCTTTATCTGCTTCTTCCAGAATCACAAAGTGAACCCTGCAAGTCAATTAGACTCACTGACACCCCTTTTCCTTTGAGTTATCAATTCTGATAAAGCCACAACCTACTGCTTTCAAAGTGTATCTGAAGAATGACCCCAACGAATGTTTTTCTCCTTTAAAGGCTATGCCCAAAACATTTGCTCGAGAAACTTTCTGAATAGCAAACATTGCCTAGTAAAACACATGCAGTAGATGAAATATCAGGTTTCTTTTTCCAGCTGTCCAGAGTCCCATGAGTGCCTCTCACTTCTATCGGTCTTTTGCTATAATTAGGAGGACTCAGGGTTTATCTGGGCCTTTTTCAAAACCAGATTTCCTTCCTAGCAGGAGCAATAGCAGCTGTCATTTGCAAGTACCTTGATGGTCCTGGGAGACTTACTTTGATGTACATTATGATACAGAAATCATGATTACGAAGACACACATACACACATATGCATGCACACATGCATGCACCCTACCACCACCACTACCACCACACCACACCGCCTTCTCTCATAATTTTGCAAAAGGAGACTTACCTGAAGATGATCACTCTGGTCTGGAACCCAGTGTGTCTCAAATAAGTCATAAACCTGCACCCCTTCTCCCTTGAAACTTGGGTACCCTTCCTTGTTGAGTGAGCCTTGCTCTGTCGGAGGTGACGTACCACATGGTCGGATGTGGAAGTGGGAATTCCGGCGAGGAGGTCTAGCTTTGGTGTGCAGAGTCTGTCTTGGATCGTTCTGGGTCAGAGGGTGACTGGTGGGTTCCTGGGAAGGGGGGTTTAAGGTTCCCTCTGGGGAGATTTCCTTCCAGATTAGCTTCTTGGCATTTCCCTTCACTCTGGGACACCCTCCTTTGGTGGGTCTCTGGGTGCCCCTCCTGCTGCCTGCATGTTTCTCCCATCTGTCTTCAGCACCGCTCTCTGAACCCTGCTTCATCTCTGACTTGTCTGTCCCCCCAGACAAGGGCTTCATCTCTGCCTCTGTCGCGGCCTCATCCATGGTTAGCAGGTTGTCACTGGTGAATTCCTCTCCTGCTTGGTGGCAGTCTCTGGCTTCTCCTTGAATTCCTGGACAATCATTTTCAGCAATCCCAGAAGCACTGGGGAAAGCAGTCACTGTTCCATCCTGGTGAGGGCCCAGAGTGAGTCTCGTCCCTCCTGGTGGGGAGGAGGGACTGTGCTTGGACGCTGTGCTGCTCCTGATCCCCACTTCTGGGGACTGTGAGTGAGAAGCACAGAAGCCAGTGGTGGCATCCATAGGCTCCTTGTCACCCGACACCTGAGGCCCACAACCCATTTCACTGAGGAAATGCTCACGCCCACCCAGGCCACACTCGCTGAATTCCATCTCTTCGTCATCGCTTTCTAATAAAAAAGCATGCCCAGTCCTTTGCAGGCTCCCTTGCCAAACTGCATTAGAGTAATCCGTCATAACATCGGAACATTCCAGATACTCCAGGTCATCGTCTGAAAACTCCTCTGTGCAGGTTAAGGTTATCTCTGGGCAAAGTTCATAGTCGCTGCTGTCCGAGTCTTCGCTGGAGACTTGGGGGTGGAACTCCCTGTTGCCCGAGGTGCTGTTGGCATCTGGGTAAATGCCTGCAGTTGCCTCTGACAGTGGGAGACTGAAGCTGATGTATTTCTGTGCTTTGGGGTTTTGATGACTAGGGGTGAAGGCCTCCCCATTAGGGCTGTCATCGCTCAGGCCATCTTCTGTGGAATGCACCGTCCAGTGGTGATATACATCACGATGTTCGGGAGTATTATTTGAAGGCAGGGAAGTTTCTTCTGTGTTACTTGGATCATAAACCTCTGCAGCTGGCCTCATTCCTTTAACGTGGTGGGGATTTTCAGAGCTGGGGGAGCAAATGTCATAATTGGCCAATACCTGGAGTGAATGGAAGAGGTTGAATTTGGCAGGGGAGGAATCGGGTGACGTGAGAGTCTCCGGGGAGACACTCTCTCCTTCCTTACAAGGCTGTTCTTTCTCATGGGTCTGCCTTGTGTGTTCTTCCTCATCGGTGTCTCCCTCATGTGTCTGCCCCACGGCCCCCCCACCTCCCAGGGCAGGAGAAACGTGTGGGATTTCTGGTGCAGATTCCACCTCCAGGGAAGCAGAGCAGCAGACCATTCCCAGGTCGTTTCTGGCTGACACTTGATACACAGCAGCATCGCTCTGGGCACAGCTAGAATAAAGAGAACGTACAGGTAAGTCTGCACCTGAGTAGCAGCATTGCTCACGTGATAAGCCTGTGAGGAATGGCGACCATTTGATATGCTTGGGAAGCTCTGGGGCGTCTCTGGAAATGGGCTGCTGTAGTCAGAAGCAGCTGTCCCCCGGACTCTAGCTGCACCCCCAGTGCTGAAAACCTGAGACTCTCAGAATTTTCCCCAGCAGCTTTCCACTATCTGACCCTGAAGTGGAAATGCTATGGATTTCTTAGATGAATGGAGGAGATGTTGGAGATTCTAATATCTTCTTGCCTTTCAAAGTCATTTTTATGTTGTGGGAATTTGAAAGAGCATTATCTTTCTGGAGTGAGACATTGAACACAAATAACTAAAGCATTCTGTTGCATGGTGGATGTGTCAGCAGCAGCTCTTTTTAAGACAGTGTGAAGAAATGTGTTTCTTGCCAAGAGACTATAAAAACCATAATAGGATTATGTGGTTGAAGGCCAGTGTCACTTTCTTCTTGATTTAATGTCACAAAAAGATCTAAGTCACAGCCATGAACCCTATTAGCTGGAAACCCACATCCACATGTCATCCTGACTAACATAGACCAAGCCAGGTGTTTGGCTTGGAAGGAATAGAATTCTGGATCAGACTGAGCCTGCATTCCCTGTTCCAGGAGGGACAACACTCCTTGGTTCCTCCCTTTTCTAACTGGAGCCACATGAAGCCTGGCCCCTGCCCTGCTTCACTGACTCATTTCCTGTAAAGACCTTTCCTCACTCCCAATAAAAGCTTGTTACCCTTGTGTAAGTTATTTATCCCATTTGACCTCTTTGTGATACTGATGATCTGCTAGAGGTCAACAGGCAGGAGCCATGCATGGGTCTGGCTCGGACTTAGAAGCAATGCTCAGGTGTTTGCTATCTTTGATTGTCCCTTGTGTAAAATACACCCAGCTATTGAACTGGGGAGGGGTGGGTATTAGACAGCTACAGTCCTCCTTGTCTTCTCTCTCCCCACTGGAGAAACCCTTTGCTTCTTCAAGTCCATACATGTTCACAAGCCTTCGGCCATTGGTACTTGCACATTCAGGCCTCGTTTTCAGATGTCAGAGACTCAGAGACTCATTCCAGTTTTAATAATGTCTTGTTTCATTGGTAACCTGCCTCCTTAGAAGCCATTGTGGCTCAAGCTTAGCTATGATCCACAGCTGTGATCAGGCTCTGTCTCCAGCCACTGACACCAGAAAACTGACATTTAAGGCAACTTTCTGGTGAAAACAGTAGCCATCCCTCTCCATTTCACAAACCTATTCTGATTCTAGTGAGAAAACAAGTGTGATGGGTTTCATAAAAGCATAAAATCTATGCCATATGTTTTCTCCAAGGTTGTGAAAGTGCCAAGACCAAGTAACCTCTGGTCTCAAGATGCAAGCAGAAGAACCATTAGAGATCTCCACTTAAAATTCAAGGTCAGCCAGGTACCAAATGCTCACACCAATAATCCTAGCTACTAAGGAGGATGAGATCTGAGGATCACAGTTCAAAGCCAGTCCAGGCAGAAAATTCCATGACTCTTACCTTCAATTAACTAGTTTAAAAAAGTTGTGGTAGAGCATCTTCCATGAATGAAAAAGCTAAGGGATAGTTCCTGCATCTTGAGTTCAAGTCCTAGCACTACCATGCATGTGTGTGCGCACGCGCGTGCGCACACACACACACACACACATACACCTGTCATAATCCCATGGTTCATGCCTGTAATCCTAGTTATTTCAGAGCTAGAGATGAGGAGAATCATAGTTAGAGGCCTTCTGTTGAGACCTTATGTCAACAGAAAAATGGATGTGGGAGCATAGGTCTGTCATCCCACTGTGTAGGAAGCAGAAATAGGGAATCATGATCCAGACTTGCAAAATAACCCAAAGCAGAGAGAGCTGGAGGTGTGATTCAAGCAGCAGAGCACGCTCCATCAAGTGCAAAGGTCTGAACTGAGAATGCTTCTAAAGATCCTGCGCCACTCTAACACCAGCTGTCCACTCACAACACCTGGGGACAACCTGTTCTCATTCTCATTAGTTAGGCTGTGGTCTCCTTAAGAATGAATCTGCAACTGAAGAGGCATTGTCTGCAGTTCCACATGACACATCATTCCCCTTGTGAACCTCTTTGGGATTTAGACTCCTTTAAGAGTTTTCTAAGGGACATAAAAGAACACTATGGAGTCTGGAAAAAATCCGGAGTACTTCAGATTTTCCTGAGTTTCCCAGCCAGATACCCAATGACGGGTACAGATGATTCTCAAGGTTCAAGGAGAAGACAAAAAGAACTTTAGGAAAATACAGAGAAAATAATTAGGCCAAATATGTTTAATGACTACACAGATGGAAAATTGTCATGATTTAATGATGTGTAATTTAACAGCACATGCATTTTAGTTGATAGAAGATTTACAATCCATTCTAAGTACACTAAGTAAAGTGCAAAGGGGCTGGATTAAGTCCAATTAACTTCTCACTGGTTAATGAGTGTCTGTGAGTTATCGTTAGTGGTTGGCACATAATTAATCTCTAAGCATCGTACAGAGGAAGGGGAGAAAATTAGGCAAAGAACCCAGCATCTGTTGAATGCTTTCTAGGTTAAATATCTAGCTGTTCTCCATGTACAAAACTGAGTTCAGCTGGGTGCTGGCGGCTCATGCTTGCAATCATAGCTACTCAAGAGGCTGACATCTAAGGATCTTGGTTTGAATTCAGCCCTAGCTGAAAAGTCTACAAGACCCTATCTCCAACTAACCAACAAAATTCTGGACTGGATGCATGGATCAAGTGGTAGATCACCCAGCAATCAAGCTGAGTAGTCAAGTGAGAGTCCAAGGCACTGAGTTTAAGGCCTGGCAGTACCCTCGCAACACACACACACACTCACACCATCAACAATAACAAAAACTCAGGCTCAAAATTGGTCAGTAATTTCCCTAAAATGTCAAAGCTAGGAAGCAGCAGAGCTGAGATGAATGAAAAGAGTTTGGAACACTGAAGCCTAGCTTAGTGCATGCTGTTCGAAAAACGACATGTCGAGAAGAGAAACAGGATACAGACACCATTGTGCAAATCAAGTGTTTCTGTCTTCCTCTTGATGAGTCAGTTGGCAAGCATGCGGAGGGTATATGCTGGTGACTAGCATTATGGTAAGAGCAGAGGATGATGGGTGGCACAAACTTCTCAAGAGGGCAACCATAGATCAGCTCTTGGCTAAGCTGTACTGTGCACACTGGCAGGAGAAAGGCAGCTCACAGAAGGGACTTCCAACCACCACAGCTAAAATGATGTGAAGCCAGTAGAGGTGTAGAATCTTCCCAAGATGCTGGCAGAGAGACCTGTGTGCCCCATAGTGATTTCACAGGAATGCAAAAACATCCAGAAGAAATTCCCTGAACCATTCATTGAGTTCCCTCCTTGCATATCTTTTGGCAGGGGGAAGCAGACACATTCCTCCACCCTGCTTGGAAAGTCTTGACTGAATTCTCCAGGTTCTTTCTTAATTTATCATTTTCCTTATTAAAGTAATTGAGGTTCATGCTATTGTAATTGGCAGAGCATCTTCTGGTTCGAAATCCCCACAGTCAGTCTAACCTAAAGGTTCTGAGAGCATTTTGGCATCAGCACTGTTTTATACTAAGAAAAATATTTGATCCTAATACTGCAACCAGCCACCACACCCCTCCCCCCGCCCCCGCAGAAAAAAACAAAAACAAAAACCTGGGTTCTGATGGATCATGCTTATAATTCTCACCTGGATGATCAAAGTTTAAAGTCAACCTGGGCAGAAGTCTGAGAGACTCATCTAATTAACTAGCAAATGCTGGGCTAGAAATGTGGCTAAAATGGTAGAACACCATCAGTGAGCAAGAAAGATGAGCAAGTAAGGCCCTGAGATGAAATCCTAGAACCATCCAACTAATTAAACTAACTAAGCAGTTGAAACATTCCCAGGGACATTTATGTGGCTTAAATTTAAGATATAGGGCTAGCAAGGTGGGTTAGTAGTAGAGTGCTTGCCTCACATGCATGAAGCTCTGGGTTCGATTCCTTAGTACCACATACACAGAAAGGCTACAACTGGCGCTATGGCTCAAGTAGTAGAGTGCTAGCCTTGAGCAAAAGAAGCTTAGGGACAGTGCCCAAGCCCAGAGTTCAAGCCCCAGGACTGGCAAAAAAAACCAAAAAAACCTAAAAACTAAGATATACTTACCATATTAAAATTAAAAGAAAAAATTAAAAACATATTAATTCATAACATTAAAAATAAATTCATGCCCTCTGTACATCTCCTTTATAATAACAATTTAAAAGTAAATTCATTATGCACTAGCACAAATAGCTTATTTATGAAAAATAACTATAGTATAGCAAAATATTGTGAGTGGTATTGCTTGACAGTTTTTCAGATTCTCTTTTGTATGAAGCTTAATAGAAGAATGGTGGGTTTATATCTATTTCTGCACTTGACATTTTAGTTAAAGCAAATCTGGCCTCACACAGAAATATAGAAAGAAAATGCAGGGGAGCTGGGAAGGTGGCTCAGTGGAAGAGCGCTTGCCTTGCATGCTTGAGGCTCTGGGTTCGATTCCTCAGCACCCATAAGCAAAAAAAAGCCGGAAGTGGCACTGTGGCTCAAGTGGTAGAGCACTAGCCTTGAGCTGAAGAGCTGAGGGGCAGCGCCCAGAATCAGAGTTCAGGCCCACAACCGGGCCCCCCCCAAAAAAAGAAAAGAAAATGCAGGGCTAGGAAGATGGCTCAGTGGTAGAGTGCTTGCTACATAAGCAGAAAAGGCTGGAAATGGTGCTATGGCTCAAGTGGTAGAGCGCTAGCTTTGAGCTGAAGAGCTGAGGGACAGTGCCCAGGCCTAGAGTTCAAGTCCCACGACCAACAAGAAAGAAAGAAAGAGAGGAGAGGGAGAGAGAGAGAGAGAGAGAGAGAGAGAGAAGCCTTAGTTAAGAAAAGGGA